GTGGTGCTGGGGGATCGAACCGCGGTCCCTGTGCTTTGCCAAGCTTGTTCCAAGTAGGTGCTTTAGACCACTGAGCCATCTCTCCAGCCCCCCAAGATTTATTTTCAAGTGAATTAAATGATTGAATTTTTGTCTGCAGGCTTAAGGCCTAAGTCAGTTTTTCCTTTTTTGAGAAGGGAGAGATTATGTTGAATCACAGCAGACTGAAATCTTTCCAGCTGCAGTATTCCATCCCATTGTAAGAGAAGCACCAGGGTGTCCTTTCCTGAAGAAGTGTCCTGTTGCCTCGGTAGTCTGTGACTCTGTTCTCAGTCTCTGATATTATCCATTATTGTTTTGATTCAAGCGCATTATTTTCAAATGGGTAAATTGAGGCCTGCCAGTTGGATCTGGATTGTGGTTTGTATTAAACCCGCTTTCTGAACTCCTGTAGGCATCTAAATCCATCATTTTATAGCACTAGTGGGGTACAACCTTTTCTTTTTTGCTACCAAGAATCGAACTCAGCACCTTGTGCATGGCTGGCAGGTACTTGGGCTGCTGAGCTATCTCTGTGGCCCCCGACCTGTCTTGATAAATGTTTTTCTCATAGTTTACAAAAGTGAACGTGGTAGCTGGAGGTTGGGGGAGGACTCTCTTGTCTCCTGGGCGACTTGCACATGTGTGTTTTGGCAGAGGGGCACTTTTATTAGTGCTGAGTTCTTTGCTATATTTGGAAGTGAAAGGCAGCCCACAAATTCATGCTATCTTGAAAATGGAATGTAAGCGTTGCATTAGGAATGTATTGATTTTCATCCAGTTTCTGAAGTTGTCCTGTAAGCAGTTTTGTTTTTTATGTCAACATGGCCGGTGCTGGGGGAGTGGGGAGTCCGTGAAGGGCGAGTATTGCACAGATCAGCGAGTGTCCCGTGGGCAGGTGCCTCCCTGGCCCCTGTGCTACTCGGGGAGTGGGAATCTCGACAGATATTTTATTCATTGGCCTCATTTTGGGGTGAAATTGAGGTTGGCAGCGTTAGCAGTTACAGGCTTATACAGGTACATTTTTCTGTAAAAAGGTGGTGAACAGAGTGTTTACCTCTGGAGCCGGTGTGAAGCCAGTGGGTCTTTGCTGCATGATTTTCTCATTTAATCCTTGGACACAACCTGCAAGGGGCACTGTTGTTATCTTTGGTTTTTTCATGGGAAACTGAGGTCCAGAGAGCACAGGCACTAAGAGGTGATTGTGGGGCTAAACTTGTCAGAGTCGAGGATGCGCTTTGTCTCGCCTTCCCTGGGAGCACGGGAGGGACTGGCAGTGGGTGGGGCAGCCTGAGACGCAGTCTGCGCTGCGCTCCCATCGTCCTCCCCACTGTGTGGTGGAGGGGTGAGTGCCCGGCATTGGGGTGGAGAGGAGTTCAGCCCACCAAATTTGCCAAATGGATGTCTGGATGGCTGGTATGTGGCGTTGCCTTCAGGGTTCAGGTGGTTGAAGAAGGGAAATGAGCTGGCAAGGCAGCGGCCAGACAAAAGGTATCAAAATGACAGTGCGGCAGCACCCTTATTGTGGAGGAACTCACACGCCACAGCCGGGTAGGCCTGGAGGCCGGTCCCTGGGTCCTGCGTACTCCAAGTGCCCACTCATGCCGTGTCCAGAGCAAGAAGGTCCACAGAGCCAGAAAGTGAATTAGTGGTTGTCAGGGAGACGAGGGGTGATGTGGGTGTACTGACATACTGGAGAGGGAAAGAGTTCTTTTTTTAGGGGGCAGTAAATTCTAGGCCTGTGGTAATAGCTGTGTAACCAGCCTTGGGCAGAAGCATTTTTCTCTCCCTTTCGTGGACTCCACAGGTTGAGTAGGTCTAGTCCTCAGGGCCTAGTTGTGTGCTCTGCCGCAGGGCTACCCCTCTGGCCCCTAATTGTGCCCCCGAATGGCGAATTGTATGTTGTATGTATTGTGTTTCTTTTCTTTTTGTGTTTTTACAGAAGGGTGTACGGGGTGTTCAGGGTCTCACTACTAGATCGGACTCTTAGTGATCCGTCTGTTTACAAGAGCTGGGATTACAGGCGCGTGCTACCATGACCAGTTTCAATTGCTGTCTTAGCATGCTCCAGGGGCAGGGTCAGCACAGCAGGCCTGGGAATTGAACCCCTGGCCCCTGTGCATACTTGCAGGCACTTTAATCTATTGAGCTATTTGGCCGACCATGTATTGTTTCTTTAAAATGCACCTTTTCAGGAAAAAAAAAAAAAAGATGAAGAATTATTAATAGTAGCAAAACAAAGTAATCTTGCCCTCAAACCTACTGCATTGGTCAAACACAACATATCGGGGGGCTGAGTGGCCCCTACATTTGCAGCTGTGGCGTAGGCAGCTGTGGCGTGGAGCCAGTGCTACAGTTGTGTCAGCTCCAGCGTGGGAGACTGGAAGTGGTGGGTGGGTCTCACCTTGCTTGGTACCACGCTGTCTCTGCCCCAGGACCGTGACGTTCTGGGCGCTGGGCCAAGCTCCTTCTTGGCTGTGGGGTATCTGGGGCACCGCAGGCACCTGGCAGCATCCCCAGCTGCCCCCACCCAGCCCCAGCTGCAGCCATCCTCTACTCCCTCCTTTGTCACCACATCCAGAAATGCCAGTGTCTTGGGAGGGACACCGTCTCCTGGACTTGATTGAAAGCTGCTCTGTTCCCGCCGGAATTAGATGTATGTCACCTGGAACAGCCACAGAGTGGTGATCATCCAGACTGTTTCTATTTTTGTCTTTCAGATGATGGATGCAATAAAAGGAACGATGACCGAAATATATAACGACCTTTCCAAAAACACTACTGGAAGCACGATAGCGGAGGTCCGAGACGACGCGTGAATTCTTTATTTGTCAAGGGTGTTTACAAGTCACTGTAAAGGCCAAGCCACAGGGAGACTGCTTGGAAACCCTGCAGGGGTCCCTGAGCCAGTTCCCAGCTTGCCCAGCTGGCTGTGGGTACAGGCGGGGCACTGTTCACTTGGCCCCATCCGGGCTGTGGATGCGCGCCCTGCACTGTGTGATTCGTTCGCTTCTAATTAAACAGCCAGAAGCAGAGTTAAACCACTGGAATTTTTTGTTTTTAAATTTTTTTTATTTTTTACTAGTGTGACTTATATTTTTTTCCCTTTGGGACCAGGAATTGAATTCAGGACCTAGTGCTTGCCAGGCAGTTAATGTGCCATTGAGCTACATCCCTGGCTAGTGTGACTTTCCTTATGATTATACTAGGAATAAGAATGCGTGTGTGCTTGAAAGTATGGGTCTGTGTAGGCATGTTAGCACCTGCTTTTAATCTCGGCACTTGGGAGGCTGAGGTAGGAGGATCAACTATGTATTGACACCCTGTCTCAAAAACAAACAAAATACCCAAGAAAACAAAACAATAAAAGGAAAGTATGGGTTCTTAATTTGTACCCCCCTGGATCTTCAATACAGATGCATGCCAGAATTTTGGGGGTTTTAGCGGGGTAACCTGAAGCCCCAGAATTAGACACACTTCCGTGGTGAAGTGTGAGTGTTCACGCTGCGTGGGACGATCCTACAGCTCAGCACGATGATGCTTGTCCTTCACAGCCCTCTGCCCTGGGACGTCCTGGGCCTCCACCCACTCTGTGCCAGCACTCTCCCACTGTGACAGCCAGCAGTGCCTCCAGACATTGTCATTGTTGTGGGTGGCAGGTGGGCTGCCTCGAGGACCGCTGTGGTGATTAAACGTGGGAAGGGCTGCTTCGCTATAGCTCAGGTGTACTTTTCTCCAAATCACTTTGGCCCCAGATTTTATCATTTTGGAAGAGATGCTTTGGTCTTCAGCTGTGGGGCTTTTGTAGTTGCAGGTGCAGGAGTCTGGATTCACCTAGGCACTGAGAGGTAATCGCTTACAGCTACCTGTAGTTTCAGAGAACAACAACCTTGTCATCAATTTATTTAAATGAGGAAAGTATTCCTTTTTTTAAATGTATTTGGCTGTTATAAGGTCTCACTATGCAGCTCAGACTCATAGTGATTCTTCTGTTTTCAGCCTCCCCAGCTCTGGGATTACAGGCATGTACCAGCACCATGCAGGGACTCTGGCTGGCTCA